GATGCGGAGAGAGGGGGGTGCTGCCGGCATCTGGTGTGACGCTCTCATGACATCCGCACCATGCGTTCAAAACCGCGGTGCTCAGGTCCTTGGCTTCTCTGCAGAGGCGACCGAGGGGTATGAGGGACCCCAGCACAGCCGAGGAGGCTGAGAGTGAGGGGCAGGGAAGGGGCCGGGGCTTGCTGAGCTGGGGAAGGGGCACGTGAGCTTGTCAGAGCCTGGTCCAAAGGCCCTGGGCTCTGTCTGCTGTGCCCACGACCAACGCTGTCCCTCCTCCCTGCAGTCAGCGCTCGGGTTCGAGTACAAGGGTGAGGTGGAGAAACACTCCTCCCAGAAAGGCAAGTCCCCCTGCACCCTGGTCCCCTGCCTTCTCCCCTAACCCAGCCCTGCTGACACCCCTCCCTCCTACGTCCCTCGCCTGACGTGTCCTCTCCCTCAGACTACGCCAAGGGGTTCGGAGGCCGCTACGGCGTGGAGAAGGACAAGGTGGACAAAGCCGCCGTGGGGTTCGACTACAAGGCTCAGGCGGAGAAGCACGAGTCGCAGAAAGGTCAGGCCGGAGCCGCCAGGGTCACTGGGCACGTCCAGCATGTCCCCAGGCCCGGGGCAGGGTACCGGGGTGGGGGCACCGCTGGCCATGGCGTCATGTTGGAGGAGCTCAGACAGTCAGCGGCTGGGCAGGGCCCGGGCTGCAGGCAGACGGGAGTGATGAGTCCTCTCTATCGGTGAGGAAGGGTCACGGGAAGGAGGCACCTGATCCTGTGGCCCCAGGGTTGCAGATGGGAGCTCGTGTGTGGGGTGCTCGGGGACAGGTGCAGGCTGAGGGGCTGCGGCAGAGGACCCGTGCATGCTGGCACAATGCTGCGTGCTCCCCCTCTCCCATGGCCCCTCTCGTGTCTTGCCACGTCAGTGCTTTCCCCGGGGAAAGGTCTGAGCCCCCATGACCCCGAGTCCCCACCTCCGTCAGTGCCAGGCAAGACTAACTCCTTCCCTTCTTGCCTGTCTCCCTGTCCGTCCGTCCGTCTGTCTGTCTTCGCACCCGTGACCTGGGTGCCCCGTGGCTGCAGACTATGCCGTGGGCTTCGGGGGGAAGTTTGGGGTGCAGAAAGACCGCCAGGACAAATGTGCCCTCGGCTGGGAGCACCAGGAGGAGCTGAAGCTGCACGAGTCCCAGACAGGTGAGCGCCGGCCTCGGGCCAGGGGCTGGGTGCGAGGGGCCAGGCCGAGCAGCTTAGACTGGTCTCGGGCTGGGAGGCTGCGGGGCAGGGACCCCCAGGGTCGCTGGGCCTTGTGGGCATGGGTGCAGGCTGGAGGGACTGGTGGGAGGCAGAAGACCTGGTCCCAGCTGCGGGCGGTGGGAAGTGGATGGTCCCTCCCCAAACTCCCTGGGCTGCCTCCAGGAGCTCTCCCATGTCCCAGGGTGGGCTGAGCCCTTTGTGTGTTGCAGACTACTCCAAGGGCTTCGGAGGCCGCTACGGGGTGGAGAAGGACAAGGTGGACAAAGCCGCCGTGGGGTTCGACTACAAGGCTCAGGCGGAGAAGCACGAGTCACAGAAAGGTCAGGCTGGAGCAGCCGCCGGGGTCACGGGGCACGTCCAGCGCATCCCCAGGCCCGGGGCAGGGTACTGGGGTGGGGGCACCACTGTCTGTGACATCATGTTGGAGGAGCCCAGACGGTCAGCATTTGGGCAGGGCCTGAGCCGCGGGCAGACGGGTGCGGTGAGTCCTCCCTATCGGTGAGGAAGGCCATGGGGAGCAGGAGCCCTGTCCTGTGGCCCCGGGGTTGCAGATGGGAGCTCGCTTGCAGGGTGCTTGGGGACAGGTGATGCCCCTGCCCCGGGCTGGGGGGGCGATGGTGGAGGAGCCGTGCACGCTGGCACGATGCTGCATGCTCCCCCTCTCCCACCGCCCCTCTCGGGGCACAGGGCAGGAGGCTGCCTTGGTTTTACGTTGTCAGTGCTTTCTCCCGGGAAAGGTCTGAGCCCCCGTGAGTCCAGGTCCCCACCTCTGTCAGCTCCAGGAAGGACTAACGCCTTCCCTTCTTGCCTGTCTCCCTGTCTGTCTGTCTGTCTTCACACTCGTGGCTGCAGACTATGCCATGGGCTTCGGGGGGAAGTTTGGGGTGCAGAAAGACCGCCAGGACAAATGTGCCCTCGGCTGGGAGCACCAGGAGCAGCTGAAGCAGCACGAGTCCCAGACGGGTGAGCGCCGGCCACGGGGCTGGGTGTGAGGGGCCAGGCCGAGTGACTTAGACTGGTCCCGGGCTGGGAGGCTGTGGGGCAGAGACCCCCGGGGTCACTGGGCCTTGTGGGCACGGGTGCAGGCTGGAGGGACCGGTGGGAGGCAGCGGGCAGTGGGAAGTGGACGGTCCCTCCCCGAACTCTCCGGGCCGCTCCTGGGGACGTCTCCGGGAGCTGTCCTGTGGCCCAGGGTGGTCTGAGCCCTTTGTGTGTTGCAGACTACGCCAAGGGCTTCGGGGGTCGCTATGGGGTGCAGAAGGACAGAGTGGACAAGGTAAGACCCCCGTGCACCGCAGCTCACAGCCACGTCCCTGAGCCCCTGCCTTGCAGCTCGGCACGGGGGCAACCCCGGGGAGGTGCCAGGAGCCCGTCCCTGACCGGGAGCCACGTGGGAGTCCGGCGATCTCTGGCCTTGCAAACTGTCAGGAGCGAAGTGGCAGTGAGCGGACCTGCCGGGCGGCCAGCAAAAGGCCGTGTTCAATGGCATGACGTGCATGTGGACGAGGGGATCGAGCTCGCGGGGCAGGGGCAGGCAGCTTGTGTTCGGCGGAGCTGGAAGCCAGGGGCGAGCGTGCGTGATGCTGGGGCATATCGGGGCAGTGCTCAAAGAGGAAAGAAGCAAAGCTCTTGTCCGCGTGCCCAAAAAGCATCAGCAGACCGGGGCGCCAGAGTTTAGGAAGGATGTGGTAGGCAAGCGGGGGAAGCCCTGGACGTGCTAGCAAAGCTCTCGTGCACCCGAACTTCCTTCTTTCTCCAAGGCGGAAGAGACATGCTTCTCGTGGGAGCTGGAGATGTCTTTGGCAGTCAGAGGGCTGGAGACGCTTTGCAGGCCAGCTGCTGCCGTGGCCTGGCCAGGATGCTGCGGGGTTGCTGGTGGCTCGTTCCCCTGCCCCTACAGTTTGTTGTAGAGTGGGGTGGGGGCGCCTGTAATCGCGTCCTGAAAGGTTTGAAGTGTGTCAATACTAACAGGACAGGCAGAAATTACAGTAGGAGAAATTCCCCTCTATTCGGCACTGGTGAAGGCACATCTGGAGTCCTGTGTCCAGCTGTGGGCCCCCGCTACAGAAAGGATTGGGGTCATGTGACCCCAGCGCTCTTTCCTGCCCAGGGCAGGGGGTCGTACTCGTTGATCTGATAGGTCCTTTTTGACCCTAAAATCTATGGACAAGAAGAGATAAGCTGTCTTAAGTGTGTGCATGGTTTCCAAATGGCAAATATCTGTGCACTTTTTTTAAAGTGATGAGTGATGCTGCATGGGCAAACAGAAAAGCCCCTTACTAGTGTGGAGGTTGCATCTAGTCCAGCCCCCTGCTCCAAGCAGGACCAGACCCAACTGCATCATCCTGGCCAAGGCTTTGTCTAGCCGGGTCTTAAAAACAAAAAGGAAAGCCCCTTACTAGCGTGCCCCAAAATTAACCACGCAAGTACATTTCTCGAGAAGACCACCTGAAAATGCTTCGCTGACCAGCAGAAAAGTTGTCTTTATGCAGGGTTTGGATTAGCGGCCAGTGCAGGGAGAGTGTTTCCCCAAAAGAGCACCCCACCTTTGTCCCCCTGGGTCCCAAGGTCCCCCTAGCAGGTACCCCGGCTTTCTCTGGCCCAGGTGATTGCTACGAGCATTCAAAGATGCCAACAGTTTCTTCCAGTCTTCAAATTAGGGGCTCCACTGGCCACCCCAAGAGTGCCCAAAGTGATGGGAGGGGGAAAAGTGGATACCATGTAGGTTTGTTGGGGAAAGCACCAGGAGAGAGCACCCAAAAATGAATAGCTGGGTGAACGGAAGAAAATTTGGGGGGGAGGAGTGTAACCGAAAGCCACCTGAAAAAATGAACCAATCACTAAATACTTTCCTAAACTGCTGTAATCTAGTACTAGGAGGTCAAGAGAGTGAAGTCGTTAGGAGATGCCCCCTAGCGTCTCGTACGGGGAACGATGAGGTTCTTTGGGTGAATCTGATATCTTTTATTAGACCAACTTAAATAGTTGGGGGAAAAAAATTAAGCAAGCTTTCAGGTTTAAAAACCCTTCGTCAGGCTGAGGAAGTCCCTGCAGTCAGTGTGTGCTCCTCCTGGGTGGAGCAGCCCAAGCCCAGAGGCTGGTCCGCACGCAAGACGGGCCGTCGGACAAGATGTAGACTGAGGAGTCGGTGGGTGAGACGGGCTGGGTGGGGGCTGCTGATGGCTCTGTCGTGGGTGCAGTGATTGTGGGGTGGTGGAGATGCGTCGGCAGGTTTTGCATTTCTTGTCCTGGCGCGGTCTGGA